AAACAAATAGCAATGAGACAGTTTCAAACCAAATTGGTAGGACAGTTTCAATAATTAACACATTGCATACATTCCTCCCAGTGGTTAATTGCTGTACAAGATGCGGACATGATATCCTATCTCCCAACAGTCTATTAATGGTCAAAATTTTCTGCCTTGATCCCCAAACACCTAAAACATTGCTTTTGATCTTTAACGCTAGTCAGATTTTATGTATAATTTTAGTTTCAAAGTTACTGTTTGTTGGCACTTAGAAAATCATTTTGTTACTAAATTGACTTTTGACATCTACTGTGCCCACGACGTATTTGTCATCTATTAGATTTTTTAATGTATATTTTCATTGATCCCCTCTCTCTTTGCAGTTACTATTCTTATTCTCTTCCTCTTTGACATGAATGTGAATTTTAGCGGTGTTTTAAGAAAACGTGTTTAGAATTTGTTATGATTCATTAAGTTGATAATTGAAGGCTTTTTAATTTTTTATATATTTTTAAATTTTATTTGTATTTTTTTATTAAGGCTCTCCAAGGTCTCATTACGTTGATCAGACTCATGGTGATCTGCCTGTGGTCAGCCTCCCAAGTGCTAGGATTACAGGCACGAGCCACCACGCCCAGTCTCCATCGCTGTCTCAGCTGGACCCGTGGGGGTGGGGGGCGGGAGGGGGGTGTGGCGCGGTCTACCGGGATCAGATCCCTGATGCTGTGTCTCCCTAAGCAGGTGCTCTAATCTGCTGAGCTATTTGGTCAGTCCCCCCTTCTTTTCTTTTTGGTCAAAATTTTTTTTCAAAAAGTTAAAAACAAAAAAAGAAATCTTAATTGTTCCTTTCAGCCATCCTGTGTATGTATACTTTTTCCTTCTTTTTTTTTTCTTCTTCCTTTTATCCCAGTTGTTGTTTACCTTTGAGTAGTTTCTTTCCCTTTCACTGTACCTATTGTTATCTTTCAGATTTTATCTACTCTTTCAGCTTCAATGGTAGGGAGACAATGTGAGGTTGACACATGCGGGTCTGATTACTTCACTTATGAGTATAGTCCAAGACATGTGGCACTTTTCTGTTGAAGATCCCTATCCTTCACTTTTTTGTTTTAATGTATTTAGTACAGGGTCTACAGGGTCTCACTACACAGATCAGACTCATAGTGATCCTCTTGTTTTCATCCTCCCAAGTGCTGGGATTACAGGCGAGCGCCACCACGCCCAGTTTCAGTCATAGTCTCAGCACGCCCCCAGGTTGGGGCCAGCACAACACACTTTGGATTGAACCACTGCCACTCTGTCTGCCTAAGCAGGTGCTTTAGTCCACTGAGGTATCAGGCTGGCCCTTCCTTCACATTTTTGATAACACATTTTTGTCTATTAGGCCCTTTCACCAGGACTTCCAATAGATATTTGTCAACCCTTCTTTTTCTAACTTCTATTTACATTATACTTTTTTTTTTTTTTTTTTTTTTTTTGGTGGAACTGGGGATTGAACTCAGGCCTTTGCGCTTGCCAGGGAAGCGCTTATTCCACTGAGTCATCTCCCCGGCCCCTACGTTATACTTTATTTCCTGCATTTTTTTCATTTTTTTAAATTTTTTTTTTTACATGTTGAGTTACTTGCTTTAGAACTCTCTTGAAATTTCTTAATTTTATTTTCAAGTATATGTGATTTGTTGCCTTTGTACATTGATTGAAATAAATTTCACTTTTCTGTATTTAACTTTTCTAAAATTTGAGTTCTTTCTGTTTTATACTATTCTGTTGTTTGTTTTTTCTTTTCTCTTTAACAATTTATTCATTTATTTGGTACAGTCTCACTTTGCAGCTCAGACTCATAGTGATCCTCCTGTCTCAGCCTCCTTCCTTTGTGCTGGGATTGCAGACATGCACCGCGACACTTGGTTTTGGGGGCTGGCACGGAATGTGGTACCAGGGATAGAACCCAGGTCCTTGTGCTTGCCAGGCAGGTTCTTAGACTGCTGAGCTATCTCCCTGGCCCCCTCTTTAACAATTTGATAGTCTCTTTCACTGTTCCTTCATTGCTAGGACATGGGCCATGGTTCTTTTTGTGCATTGTACTGCTTCTTTCTCAGAAAACATTCATTCATGTTGTTTCCAGAGTCTCACTTGGTCTTCCTTTGGAGGTACTCACATAGTTCCTTGTCCCGAACCAGCGGGTCAGTCAACGAAGGTCACCTGGGGGAGGAGCGGGGAATTGAAGAGGGGACAAAGGACAGGAGACGCGAGAAATGGAGGCAAGACAAAGATTCTGATCAAGCCTCGTTTATTTAGGGGAGGTTCTGGGTATATATAGGGGGTGATGGAATGAGGAAGTCTCGGCTCTTGGGGTCAGCAGGTAT